ACACACACAATATATATATATATATATATATATATATATATGGTGTTCCATATCCCAAATCCACCTAACTCACTTAACCCACACACACTGTTTTTACACTACCCCCGGCCTGATACAACGACGACCAACAACTAACCCTGGCTAAAATTGGCCAGCCTCGGAGCCGAACCTGCTCAAGGTGCGACTAAAGCAACGCGTGGAGAGGAACATGGCCGCGTCGAGAAATTCACCCCTGATGGCACGACGGAAGGATCGGCTGCTGTCGCACCTCAAGCGGAAATCATTGCTAGCAAGTACGTCCTTCGATCGAGCTTTAATCGAAAATATCATTCGTCATATGTCGAAATTAATCGACTTTTCCTGCGTGAGCATTATAGCGGAAAAGAATTCGTTGCACCCGTGTTTTTTCGATTAATCTATCTATATTGATTTTTTTGCCTTTTTTTGCCAGTGTCCAGTAACAGCATGTTCGACAACAAACGATTGTTTACCGATTAACAATATATATATATATTTTTTTTTTCATTTCCGAGAAGCGAGAGAAAATCGCCGAACGCGTCTTTTCGTTTCGTCTCGTTTGTTTTTTTTTTTTTTTTTTTTTTTATTTATCCCAATTACGTTACGACGAAATTATACGAAAAATATATCAAGGATGATCGATCATTCGGTTGCGATACAATATAGGCGAAACGATGCACGCGATGCGTTTCTTTCGCGCGGCAATGGAATTCGGGACAAGCACACTCCTCTTCGTGAAAAGGAGGGAGGGGGAGAGGTGGATAACTCGTCAACGCTTTCCCAAATTCCAGTCTCGTCTCGCGCGACGAGTCGCAGGCAAATCGTTGGCGCTCAATCCGCCGCTCGCTCTGATCGAACGTTTTTCAGATTCTAGTAGTAATCCAGAGTCCGGGCCTAATTCACCACCGACCGTGAACAATTCTCAAGCGAGCCCCACAGCGGGTGGAAACGCAGCGGCGATCCAAGAAGTAAGTGTTCCACCGAGATGGAGTTGTTAAAAGAATCTCTGAATCGATCGTTAATCCATCCTTGTCGATTCCCTTTTCCCTCTACTCTTTCTCTTTCTTTCTTTCTCTCTCTTATCTCTCGTTCGTAGGAGACGGAAAACACCGGTTACGGGGGTCCATTGACCAGCAGCAGTCAACAAGGTAGCCTATCGGATCTTTCGTTGTTCAGTTCACCGTCCATGCCTAATATTTCGCTGGGACGACCTCACGTTCCATCCGGTTCCAACACGGTGAGTCGCTCGATCGATAATTATGATCGACCGATCGATAATTCTGTCTCTAAAGGACGTTGGTTTTCGCCTATGTACACGCAGACCGGTACGAAATTGGCCACGGTCTCGGAGGCAGAGGTACGCGCGGCGTTCACCGCACGACTAGGAATGCCGCTCACGGGTCAAATGTTGCCCGGCACCTTACCTTTTTATCCATCGTTGACGGTAATCGAGGGAGGAGAGGCAACGTCGACCGGTGGCTACGTTCACAAGCAGATGCAGCAAAATTTGGAACATCCATCGGTAACGAATCGGCAACATCCACCGTCCGCGGTCTATCACGGTAGCACGACGGCAAATCCCATTACGGACACGCAAGTAGCGCATGCGAGGCTGCAAAAGGCTGGTCACCGGCCTTTAGGTAGTATGTTCTCTCTTCTTTCCTGCCAGCCGATCATTGTTTCAACGCGCGTGCGTGCCATCATCGTTTCGCACGCGTTTCTTCCTTTCTTTCTTTCCTTCCTTCCTTCCTTCCTTCCTTCCTTCCTTCCTTCCTTCTTCCCTTCTCTCTTTTTTTCCGCGACGAATTGGACGCGATCGCTTCGCGCATGCGCGAGATTGGAATAACGAAATTGGCACGCGCGAACAGCGTTACATTGGCAGCGAGCGATTCCTCGCGAGCGAATCGCGACGCGCCTTTGCGTAACAGATCAATCACGTGACGCTTAGTTCCCACGATCATTTCTCGTTTCTGCGCATACTCACAGGCAGGACTCAATCCGCGCCGTTGCCGTTGGGCCATCCAATGCTGCAAGGTGGCATGATGGCGCCCCAGACCCATTACGAAGAGTACCTGGCAGAGAAACAATTGCATGACCAGCAACAGGCGCACAATTACCTGAAACAGCAGATACGTCAAACGGTGTTGACGCGAGT